CTGCTAATTCTTTCGAACATAAAATCCGCTTTCTAAATTGCTGCTTTTTAGAAAATTATTTCTGTAGTTATTATTACAGTTTGACCTCTTATGAGCAACAAACTTATTTTGTTGTTTTTAAATATTATTTTTAAATGTTAACAAAATACCAAACCTATATTTGGTCATTTTTTGTTTATACTACTTGCATGCATCCGACAGAAACATAACTGTGGATGGATGTTATGCCTCCTCTTTGTGTTTAATTCTGGCAGAGTGTTTCCAGAACTTGAAACATGACCTCCAAGGGTAGGAAAGGTAATTCAGATACTTGGACTCCTACACTCCATACAATGTATGATATGCCACGGCTTAGGGCAGCACTCAGAAAACTCCCCCCGCTCCCCCAATATTTAACTTGGTCGTCCTCATCACATCAGACAGGAAGGTATTTAACCAGACAGCAGTCCAAGAACCAGATCACTGAACAATTTCAATGTGACTTCTGGAAGTTTTCCCTTTCCCTCCAGCACTCCCTTTTGTCCCCAGTGGCTCTCAAAGCACAAACAGGGCCTCATGCTTCCCATTGCATACACCGCAACACATCCAGCCTGCACCCACCTCCCTCCCTCGCTGCTCACCAGCGTTCCTACGGGAATTTTGAGTGGGAGTGCTGGCAATTGCACGTGTAAGGAGACAGGAGCGGCACCAGGGAAGGGCTCTGCTGAGCTCCGAGGAGTCAGACAGCTTCTTGTGAGCACAAAGACACTTGCACTCCTCTGGAGCTGGAGGCAGGAAGGTCCTGCAGCAATCCCAGTGTTAGAGCATGACCAGGAATCATTATTTTCCCTGTTCTAGCACTAACTGTGCCCCAGTTGAGTTTCCCATGCACGTTTGCCAGGAGACTTTCTTAGAGAAAGGGAGAAAGAAGGGTGGGGACAGTTGTTCATCTTTTTTGAACATTAAATAGAAAACATGCCCCAACTAACTGAGACAGAGAGAAGTGCTGCTACGTCCACTTACTCAAACAGCTGAGAGCCCCAGCACGGATCTGAATGCACTCTCCCTTGATACTGGGTGACCTGACCCGCTGTAGAATTTTGTGCACCCTGAAAAATGTTAATTAGGGCACTCAGCCTGGCTGTGGGAACAGCACAGCTGTAAAAACCCAACAGGAAAACCCTGGGCCAAATCCTGATGTTCCCTGCGCAGAGCTCCAAGCAGGGACTCCCTTGGCAGTGTGGGACAGGGGGAGCGCCGGGGCCCTTTCCCCAGGGTAGGCACTGCTCACGGGCCGTGGGGACTTGGCGATGGCCCCGTGATGGAGACTGAAGTTTCACGGCTCCCCCAGCCACCGGGACACACTGACAGATTTCCGTGCTTCTGGCTGCTGCCGTGGCTGCTCAGTGCCCCCCGTAGAGCCCACGGCTGCGTACGCCATCCTCCCCTGCATCTAACAGAGACTGCACATCAGAGGCAGTGGTAGGTGGGGAGACAAGGGGGAGAAGCTTTAAACATTGCCAGGTCAGAGCAACGGGAGGTAAGCACGTACAGAGGCAGCAAGAACTACTGAAAGTTTTTGATATAGTCCCAGGCGGACTCCCCAATGCCTGTGTGTGTTTCAAAGGGGGATCCCCTTTCTGTGGGCATGGAAATGTTTCAAATGAGCCCGAACCAGTACAATGTTTCAGAGACCTCTGCTCTCTAAAAATTCCACTCCAAC